GTGTCTTACCATGGAAGTCACATATTGTGGCATTTCATGTGTAGTGTCTGGTCATATCCCATCCTGTCACGTTTTATTATGTGTGCTGTCATTATGTGACACTTCACTGGTGGCATGTGGTCACTTTGCAGCTCATCATTACACACATCGTTTTCTGTGTTTCTGTTGATGTTTCCACAAGACCTTGAATGTGACTTTGGACAATGTTGTTGAAATTACACTTCCAATTTAAAACAACCACCAATTCTTTCAACTGAAACAGGACTGGATGCATTCTAAGTGTGAATAAACATCACCTGATGTAGGTTAATTGTAATTGTGCTGGAAAGTTTTAGCATCTCCACCATTTTGGTGTGGGGAAATTGAAGTAGAACAGGCAATTTAGTAAAGGTTGTGCAGTGAAACCAGATGCAAAACAGTACTTGAACAGGTGCTTAAACATAAGCACAGACAAGTCCTGCCATAAATTACTCTGAGCTTGAGGTCTATGTGACTTCCTAATGCATATTCTGAAAAAGCTAAATGTTACTACTCGGAATAGGTTTGTGTAAGCCTGTCATAGTAGCAGAGTCAAATAGAGTTGATGGACAACTCTCTGTGGAGCAATTCTGTTTGTGGTTTGGTTGGATTTTTTTTCCCCAGCCTGCCCTTGCTTCTCTGAACAATTCATGGAGTAGCACCAGGGTCCCTGTATTTCACTGAATTCTTCTGCATTCTGCTCTAGTCTTCATTGCTGTGATGAATGTTCACTTGCTGAGTTGTCATGAGCACCTTTCTGAGGCCTGTCCTACAATACATGATGCTTCTCTAACATAGTGAAGGGGTAGCACATATACCCTGGAAAGTTGCTTCTTTCCATTAACATCCTTGTTTGGAATGACTGGCAAAAAAATGTTATACAATGGTAATTTTCATGGATTGAACTGTCTGGTTCTTTGCTTTGCAATGGTCTCATTACTCAGTGTTTTTAAACTGCTTTTGAGGGGAGTATAACTCATCTCTGTCACTTACAAATAGCAGCATATAAACACTGGGTCTTTAACAGTTATTCCAATCATGCAGGCAACATTTTCTTAGCAATCCCTTTAGGTTTCAGATTTTGTTTAAAGTAGTCCCTTACTCTAAGTCAGAAGCATTAATTTCTAAGTAACAGGCACAGATGTCCTTCAAACCTACAGTAAGTGGTCTCATTAAGTACTTGAGTAAAATGAAGGGTATTGCATCAGCTAAAATAGCTGGGAATAAAGAGCTGTATTGTCTCTTGGATGGAGGGAAGCTGCCTGTGTTTTATATCCAAGAAAGATGCAGAGGTTGTTACAATGTATGAGAGGTACCAGATGCTCCCTTAAAAGAAAGAAGAGGTGTCGTTCTTCTTTTCCCCTGTTCTAGGAGTCAATTATCTAGGAGATAATTAATTTTCTTATGTAAAGCCATGTTACCTTGATAAATAAAGCCTCAATTCTGGAGCCTCTGTGGACCTTCAGCATGAACTTTTTAGGGTGAGGTATTTGCCTGAGACTTTTGTGTAGCTGATAATTATAACATTTTTGCATGTGGTTTCCATCAGTCAGATTTGTGGTCGAATCTCTCTGATAGACATAGTTCAGGTTTTACCACTAATGCATTAGTATCTCCATATCCAATTAATCATACCAAAGCCCAGACCAATCAAAGGAAGCACAAAAAATTATTTTTCTGTTTCTTCTTTATTGTTTTCCAGGATTCTGTATTTTTGATTTAGTACATGTTAAATAATGCAATGCAGAAGTTATCTTCTTTTCTGGAGACATGTGTCACTGGAAAACTTAGTAAAAGTCATCACAGGTGTATGTGGAAATATTGCCTTAATATTTGGAATGTTTGCATGTATCTACATATGCCCTCTGCACGGGATCAAGTTTGGAGTACGTAGGTGAATGGGACAGGTGCTCACAAATTTTGCTTGTGCTAAGAATAAAAGAAGTCAGTTTCTGCACATGTGAAATAAAAGTTGTGCTGTGCAATGTGTCAGATTTCAATGAAAAATTGAAACAGTTCACTCAGTCTAGACTATCTAACTGCTTAGAGTAGGTCACAGCATGAACTGGAAATGCACAAGGTGTCTAGTGATTTGGGGCTTTAATAGTCAGGATTTTTTTTAAGTGGTTGAATAGTTGCAGTGGAATGAAACATCAAGCACTAATAGGGAGTGATTTTCCTGAGCAGTGACAACCAGGATGTGATTTCTGTTTCATGATTAACAGCCTTTCTGACTCTGGTGTTGCAGTGACAGTGGAGTTCATCTTTTCACTGCTGTGGCATTCACAAGTGGGGCTTGGTAGCAACTTATTCCAGGTGCTATTAGTTGTAGCACATAACCTGGGAGATTTTTGAATCAGGTTCCTATTGTGAATTGTTCCTGATAGATCTTCCTAATATTATTGACTGATCTTTGTATTAGGGTTTCCCAGGGATTGGTGAAGGCTAGAGGATTAAAGGCCTCTGAGTCAAGGATGACCTAGATTCTGATAGATTTTATTATGCAAATCCTCACAGTCAGAGGTCATTAATGGAAACATCTGAAGCTAATATGAGTTAATATATTTGAGTGCTCTCAGAAATTAATGAGTGTTTTGGTTCCAGGTGAGTACAATAGAGTTTAAGTATTTTAAAACTGTTTTGATTTAGAAGTGTGCTCAGAAAGTGATTTAGGATATTAAATGTCAAAATCCTTTTGGCTGCTGGTAAAAGTTGGGTTCTGAAGACACTTTTGAAAACAGGATTTTCCTCTGAAAATTGGGGGATTGGAAACTTTCTACTCTGCCCTTTCTAATGATGATTTCAAGAGATTCCTAACATTGAAGCAAGTTCTTGATTTCACTGTCATTTTTGTAAAGGAGCGTTTTTTGTTATCTTAAATGGGAAAACGAGATATGACAAAGAACAGAAAGAAATTAAAAAACTGCTGGCTTTCCCACCTCGAAACAGGATGATGGTTTAAACACATAGCCATTTTTCTCTTCTGTATTTACAATGTGCTCTATTACTTGAAGATCTGCTAAGCAGAAAAAGGAATATTCCTGAACAACCTGGTCCTCGTCTGTTATAGTCCAGCTGTCCCTACTGTTTGAGTGATTTGAGGGATTGGATCAAAACCAGAAAGATTCTGAATGTAATTCATATATAAAGGCATTAATGCATTTTCCTTTATGGTGGCTTGTCAAAGTTCAGGGCATGAATCTAAGGCCACAAATGAAAAAAACTCTCTATTTGATTCTTTAAATGTGTTTTTGTTCTTTCATTTATTTCACAAGCCTGACTGCTTACTTATATTTCATTCTTTTATACTATGCCTTTTTCCTGAGAATGTGAAAATATGTAAAATACCCTGAGCAAATACATTCCATTGCAGGCCAGTAGTAGGGCAGTCCATTATGATTACGCTACTTATGAATAAACAGAGGTGTTTACCCAAAATATTCAAAGTTGACTCTGAAAATCTAAAAAGCCTTCAAATTAAGCATATGTTTTAAAACTTGTTTTTGTAAGTCTGTCAAGCAAGGAGTCAGTAACAGAGGTGGGGATAGAGCACAAGATGTTGGGCTCTCTCTTTTCTGGTATCATGAGCAGTGCTGGGACAGGTTCTGATTGTGATTATTTTGGTTTAGGTCAGCATGATATCCTTAAAGTCCTTAGTGTGTGTATAGTGTAGCATTTGGTGACTGGCCTTAGGTGTAGACCCTGGGCTGTGAGAAGCTTTGCCAGCTGGAGCCTTAGGTGTCCCTGTCCTCCTCTCGTGTTATGTGGACACGCAGAATTCGCAGTCTAAGAAGAAATGCTGTAGGATGCGGATCCAGAGCAACTCATTTTGAACACGAATGGCTTTACCAGCTCTTTGCCACCCACACACGTCTGTTGTCCCTTCCATGTGCACCCCTAGGTCCCTCTGAGACCAACTGCTCTGCAGCTCCCTGGAGTGGCAGGCAAAGCTGCCGCCAGCACCGTGTCCCTTGACATTTCCCAGTGCACTGGTGCAACGTGTTGTTTCTCACTCCCGTACTTCTCTGCTTCCTCGCAGCATATACCAGCAAAATGTGGGTTAATGGGGCAAGCATGGCACAGAAAACAGTCTCTCTGGTGGAGTCATTAGGATTTGCTGGCAAGCTGCCAGCTCGGTAGGTGGAATTTTACACTCACTCTTCAGAGCAAGCTTAAAGGGGAAACCTCCGTTCGCTTTAAGCCTTTACAGCCAGCGAGAGGCTGCTGGGACATGCCTGCCCCTGTCCAGACCTCTGATGAACAGCTGGCTGGAAATTCTCATCTAAGCACTTGCAAATGATTTGTTGCTGTGATTGTGGTTTTAAAATTGGTAGTCAAGACTATTTAAAATTAATGCATCTGCATGGGGTTGATTGGTGATATTGCTGTCTCCTATGTTTGGATATTCCCAGAGTTAAAATGCAGAGTCTGAGGTGCATTTTGAGGAGGAGGTTTAAGTGTTGGAAACAAAAAAAAAAAAACAAAACCCCAAACCCTGGGAAGGCATAGCTGAGTAGGCACAGCTAGACTTCAGCCAGTACTGTACATACATACCAAAGATTTTAGGTCTGTTCTGCAACAGGCTTCAGCTGCATGTAAAATTAATAGCAGCTGATAGTGCTCAGCTCCTGAAAGGGTTAGGTTGTCACAACTGTAGGAGTCTGTAATTTGTTACTTGTGTAAAGAGTTAATGAGAATAATATAATTAGTTATTGTCATAGAATAAATTGAAATTCAAATTAATTTTTGAAAAAACCTACCTCATACTGTATTTATCTTACTTTCTTGCTTTAAATGGGATCGATAACAAATGTATCTTTTTGATTTTAGAAATTTTAGGTCAGTTTTCTCATCAGATTCACTGCTACAGTTTTCATGTGAAACATGCAGCCCTGTTTAATGCCTATGGATCTGAAAATAGAGAGCAAAAGGGTTAAATCTCAATCCCTCTGTGATTTATATTTCCCTCCCCTCCTTCCCAGCTGTGGACATGGATGGAAGATCTGCAGAAGGAGCTCTTAGAGGATGTCTGTGCTGACTCTGTGGATGCGGTTCAGGAGCTTATCAAGCAGTTTCAGCAGCAACAAACAGCCACCTTGGATGCTACCCTCAACGTTATTAAAGAAGGGGAAGATCTAATCCAACAGCTCAGGTAAGCATCCACCTGGAGGACAGGTTTTGAGAAATCTGATACATGCTGTGGAACTGTAAGCTAGAATTAATTGGGAGAGTTTATTAATTCTTTGCTTTTTTATAATTCTTCAGATTCCCTGAGTGTTTCATTGAAACTGCAAGGAGTGATTTGTGTGGACTGATTAGAGTAGTCTGTGGATCAGCATGGGGTTTCTGTTTGACAGAGAGATTATTTATAGGCACAGTGAAGTGAATTGAAATAAATGTGTTTGAAGTGAATATTTTTAGTTGGTATTTATAGAAGATTGTTAAATGGTTGTGAGCCGAGGCCTCGTGATTTATATGGTTATTCCCGATTTAGGAGAAGTGTATTCCTCTTAATAAAATACACACGTGTCTAACAGTCTTCACTATTTCATTTTGCATGCAGCACCCTTCTATTTATCTTTGTCTATGTGGGGTTTATTCATAGTGTCAAAGAGGCTCTTATACTGCTGGTTCTACTTGTGTTATGAATTAAAACAGCTCATTTTGCCTGATTTAAAATACATGAAGAAGTTGGGGTTTGGGCTTTTTTTTTTTTTTTGCTTTCTCAGTCTGCAAATATCATCACATGAGTGTTTGCAGAGTAAACTTACATAGAATTTGTAATTGAGAAATCTCTCTCATTTATTCTTACAGTGGTTTACTGTGCCTTCAACTTTGTTGACAGCAGTGAGTTTTCCTGCCTTTAAGGGATGTACTGAGTGTCAAACCAAGTCCAATGCATCACTTATTATTTAGATCTCTGTATTGTTACAGGTTACCCTTATTTACAAGCACACAGTGTGCATGTTCTGTATACATAAATAATATGCAAATCTCCCAGGTCTTATGCATTTCACCAGACACTGTCCCAGAGAGTTAGATCATCCTCCTCACCCTGAGCTTTCCTAATCTGATGCCCTAACTTCCCACCTGAAAAGTTCAGAAAACCATGAGCCATGATAGGAAAAGCCTAAGGTGCTCTAGAGCAGAATGGATAATGAAAGACTCTGGTGGAGTTCTGCTCTTAAGAGCCCTTCTGGAGTCCTTGAGCCTTCTACTACTGCATGTGCTGAGATTTTCTCTATACTTTTTCCTGTCATTCTGGAGGCAGAGTGTTCTCCTCTGGGTCAGAAAAGAGGTCTGAGAGGGCTGCTCTAGATTTTGATTGCCTTTCAGCCTTGGACAGCCACATTGGAGAGCCCATGTAAATTCCTAGTCTTGCTGTATATGGCTTGCCTGCATCGCAGTGGGAGAGTGAGGGATCTGAGCTCTGGTACTGTTTGCTGAGATTAGAGTTGGAGAGGAAGGATCAGAAGCAGACATAGCTAGGTTCCATCCATCTTCACCTTTACTGATGAGAAAAGTAGAAAAGAAACATGCTGGGTTTGGAAAGTGGACTGCCAGAGGGAAGGAGTTTTAGCTAAGAATGTATGTATGGCCAGCCAGAGCAGATAAGTCAAAGTTCTGCATGGTAATTTCCCTTTATGCACAGGAAGTGTTTGCAAACTTTATGGCAATTCTATGAGATCACAAAAATGGCAATGAGATTCTGAATTTTGGTTATTCTTCCTACCTGTTGGCATAGCATCACTTCAGTGTGAACACACATGAGATGCCTGAAAGGGACCTTCTATATGCTCATCAGGTGGAGTGTGGAAATGGTTTGTGGGGTTGCAGAAAGTGTCTGTGTTCAAGCGGTCCTGGCTCTGGTTGTGGGATTGGCCTAAAGGATTTTTGCCTGCACCTGAGTCAGTAGGAAATTGGCATGTAGAGTTGGAGCATGGCCAGGGTAATACCTGGAGCTGGAAATCAGTGGAGCATGGGAAGAGGTGAACTGCAAGATGGTGTGTGGGACTTCAGCTTTTTCTTAATGTAAACTTAGTCAGTTCTTAGTTTCAGTCTTTGAAAAGAGTGGACTCAGCTTTGGGACTTTTGGTTTGGAATTGGTGTCATGTCCATTTGCAAAATGCCAAGGCAGGTTTTGTGGCAGTCGTGTTTAACAAAGAACTGTTGGGTTTGGTGTCTGGCTTGTATTCTGGGCAGTGAGCAAGGTGGAACAAGGTGAGCATATTTGTGCAAAGTGATCCCCTGCTTCTGATAAAGTCAAGACCAGACACAGAGAGAACGCTGTCTGGAGGACAAAACACACAAAGGTTTGCAGTACGGAACTGTCAAGATGATCTTATTGAAGTGTTGGTTTTGAGCACTCTGACTAGCTCCAAAGCCTATAATGGGATCCTGGACTCTTTCAAATAGTGAAGCAGAACTGTGTGGAAAAAACCATGAAGCTGCCTCTGCATGTGCCCACTCTAACAGCTTTTGTGGCTGCTGGTGACAGTAAAGAAGACACAGATAAAGGATAAAAAGCAAAAAAACTAAAATTGCTGCAATCTTTCCTTAACACAAGGTTGCATTTCACAGTGTGGATCACCTTGTACCTGCTGTGAAGAATAGCTGAAGATTGCAAATGCTACAACAATGAAGGGAATGAAATACATCGCTCTTATTAAGCGTGTCATAACACAGGTTAAAAGCAATAAAATTACTAGAGCTTTGGAAAGTTTTACATTTCTTATCCTTATCTTTGAGAGAACAGATATTGGTTTAGAGAAGATCACTTGTGTAATGGCACTCTGTGTCTCCTCCAGAGGGGTGAAGAAAAGCTCAGCTGCCTGAGCTAAATACGATGCCTGGAACTGTTCTTCACACAAGGTCTTCAGGGCCACTGTGAGTACAGAGATCAGAGATCCTACCTGTCAGAAATAAAACAGGCCTGGCTACCAACTCTGTACCTGTCATGGTTAACACTGGAAACTTTTTTTCCATTCTTCCCTATCAGTGTTTTACTGAGGTGATCATCGTTCTCAGCAGCCATGGCAAAGAAAATGTTTTGAACTGCAGTTCTAGGGGTGCTGCTGGGAGAAATATTTCTGCTCATCTGTGAAAGGCAAAACAATAACTTGCTTCAGTGAGGTGTGAAAGAGCAGGAATGTTAGGGGCTGAAAAAAAAGCCAGTGAAGAGTTGTGTATTTTGCCTTTTTTACAGTAGTTCAGCTTTTGATAATGGGTATATCTCACTGAGCTTTCTCCCAGTTAAAGCACTGAAAGTGGTTATAGGAGCACAGTGTTCTTTTTTAACAAACTCAGCAGCAATGTCCTGAGTTCAATCTTATGTTCCCCGAAGTTTATTTTCTTATATCTTCTTCCCAATAATTTCCTTGAATTTTGTAACTGTAATCCATAACCTTTCAAAGATTAGTAAGGATCTTATATTAATTCTCCCCCAGAATTTCTCACCAGAAAGAGCAAGAAATATTGTGGCAGAAGCATTCCAATCTCAGAAATGGTTTTTTTCTGAAGGGAGATCTTTCTCAAACCAAACTAGCCAGGGATTGTCAACACCTTATCTGACAGGACTGTTAAAAAAATATCAGATTAATACTCTTAAACCTTTGTATTGCATCACTCACTGAAATGCAAGGGTGGCTTGATTTGGAGAGTGAAATATTTAATGAAAAAGAATTTCTAAAACTAAGTGTGTCTCTAGATCCCATGAGAGATTATTCAACACCAGTCTTGAATAATTCATTGAGTCGTTTAGGTAATGTATGAATAGTAATAATCCTGCATTTGAATGAAGACATATTTCATGTCCTTTTACAGAAGACAGGTGCTGACTGAAGGAAACAGGACTTGATTGGATGCAGCCTCAGATTAAGCTCTAGTTTCAAAATCTCACCTAGTTATTTTCATCCCTTCTGCCTCTGTACAGCTCTAATGTAGAGGCAGAGAGAGAGACTCTGGGATCATCAAGAACTTGAAAACAGACTGACAGAGTGAGGCATAAACCATAACACCTGGAGAGCAATATTAGTGTAATATTACCTTATAAGCAAGGGAAATTGGTAGTTCTTACTTCAGAATAATGCTGGAGCGTCTGAAGTTCAGTGTATCAAACATCAAATATTTGAGGAAAAAGAGGCAAAACACATCCAAAGAGCTAACTACTGTGCAGTTAATAGCATTCTGTATTTTTAGTTTTACTCTTAGACTTCAGATGTTCAGGCAAATGCTTGCTCTTTTCCTCTAAGGCACACTGAAAACAGAATAACGTGTGTGGTTTTTTGCCTTAAAATCTTGAAGGTGTGTTTTAAACATAGTTAAATGACTCTGTGTCAGTGCCTAGTTCGACTTAAAGCACTTTCAAAAGATTATACTTGTTTTTTTCTCAATTATGCTCAATGACAGGGTTAAATTGACTGTATGTTGTTTTGATCTGACCCTACGTGACGATAATTTGCAAAGAGCAAAGCATGAGCATTTCAGTTAAGTTCTGTAGAAAACTACAGAACTATAAATGCTTTGCTGTATATTTATGGAGGGAAAATTCAACCCAGTAAAGGGGAATAAAAACCTAAAAAATTGCAAGCATACTAGCACTCTTCCATAGTGGGGAGACTCCATGGGAATCCCTCCTCAGCTGCCCAGGTTTGCTGGACAGAAGAATGGCTCCCAGTCTCATTTGGTCCCTGCAGGACAGTGTGGTGGCTTGGCAGCATTACCTGACATCTCACTTGTCTCCCAATATTGTCAGCTGGGTCACTGCACATGTGGGAGTTTGTTGGTGCACTGATAGTCTGATAGGTGCTGTTGGATTTGTAATTGTCCTCCCCACCTTCTCCAAGGCAGAACTGGAGATCGATAGGAAAGATGGTAAGACCTGCTTGCTTACCCACTTCATCCTGTCATCCTACCAGTGTATTTCGTAGGGTTTTCTGTTGTCTTGGATTAAATGTGCCAAATAATGCAGCTGCTCTCACACACCTTTGAGCAGGTTGGATGGAGAAGACCATTGCATCTAAATCTTGTTTGAGCCAAAGTACTAAAGCCAAGATTAAATTCTGGCCTTGGAGTTTCCTTTCTGGTTCTTCTGAAAGCTGAGGGACCTTTTGTGGAAGATTTGAGGATAGCTTTCAGCTCTTTATGTCTGCAAAGGTTATTTAACCATGAAATAGTCATTGAAAAAAATTTACTGAGGACGTAACAGACTGTAGGTGAGCTTATTAACGTATGTGAGAGCACAAATAGAAAAGGAACTGTCAGGACTGTCCTTTCAGGTACAACAAACTCTCTCTTGGTCCTAGCCCACTAGTTTAAAGGGTTTGCTCCCTTCTGCTGCCTGTATATGGAAAATGTAAATGGAGCAGTATCTGACCTGTTACAGGCATGTTTCATTTCACTTACCCCAATGAAAAGACAAGTCAGTATCTCTTGGAGTGTTTGAAAGGTGTTTTTCTTCAGTGGAATTTTTTACAGTGTTTTCTACATCTATTGCTATACCACGTAATCCAAAGGAAATCAAGGTATCCATACCCCTTGGTCTAAAATGCTCATAATTCTGATTCAATTAGTCCATAACTAATAAAAAAATACAGAAAACTAGCTTGTAAAGTTCTAGCATCTCTGAGTTTGATGTGAGTATAGGCTGGAGCAGGTCACCCTGTAGGATTAAAGGGTATTGCCAGCCAGTCTCCTCAAGAGAGGCACTGAGATTGATGTACCATTCTCTTCCCCTCCCAAGTGTGCAAGGTCACAGTGTCATGACACAAGAAAGGATGATCCTCTTGTTCAAACTTTGTGCCGAGCTCAGGAGCCACAGGATTTCGGCGAGTAGACGAGATGAGTCTTGCGTACACGTTCCCTCAGCCCTTTGTGCTTGGGTGTGCTTCTCAGCAGCCGCAGAATCGCAAGTGTGTAGTTCTTGCTCTTTTGCCTGCCTTAAAGCTGAGCTTTAACCATGCTTTCTGCCTTGCTGCAGGGACTCTGCGGTTTCCAACAATAAGACCCCACACAATAGCTCCATCAGCCACATCGAATCTGTCCTTCAGCAGCTCGACGAGGCCCAGGTACAGATGGAAGAGCTCTTCCATGAGAGGAAGATTAAGCTAGACATTTTCCTTCAGCTCCGGATTTTTGAACAGTACACCATTGAGGTAAGAGCTGGCTGCATGACCCGAGAAAGGTAGAGCTGTGGGACAGGGAGTGCATGTAAACATGCTCTGTTGGGATACATCTGGAGCTCTTTCATTGTGCTCAGCTGTCCAGTGAGGGACAGAGAGAGAGCTACAATTGCGTTTTAATTCAGCATGTTGAGCCTAAAAATATGCTTTAGGATATAGTGCTGGAATGCACTGAAATAGATTCATGTATACTTAACTGACTGTGCTGAGAATCTGCCTGCTTTGCAGAGAAGCTTCATAAGGTGCCTATGTTATAACTCTCTATTGACACGAGTCAGTCAGGGATTTGAAAGTTATGTGTCACTTCTGAGTGAGGTTCATCTCTGCAGATACAAACAGATACATGCTTGTCTTTAAACCACAGAATGAAAAAAACATGTAACGCGTAGAAGGAAGGGATATTTAAAAGGTAGGCTTCTTAAGCATTACAGTGGATTTATTTAAAAAGGAAAAAAAATTAGAGGGGTAAGTTAAAGTGCGTTTTCATGTCCTTATGTAAAAAAAGGTCTTTCAGTTCTGTCTTGAAATCAAAAACACTGGACGGAAAACTTATCAAAACACTAATAATTGAGGTATTCTTGGACCGAGAAACTTTGAAGAGACTACAGCCAATCTCAGTAATTACTTGCTGTAATTCTGATAGGACATGAGGGAGAAAGAACAGCATGTAAATTAACTTGTGCCCACAAAATCTATGAAAGACTCATGTCAGCATTTGTGTCCTTTCTGGGTTGTGTTCTTCCTGCTGTATCCCACTGGTGCTTGCTCAGTTCATGGAGCACCTTTGTGTTTTATGATGATACATTCCTGAAGGCATTTTCTGTAAATCTGTAGGTAATCTCAAGGTGGGTACTGGTAAGTAATGGGAGCCTTAGAGTGCCTTGTTGTATTCTGTGTTTAAGACATGGCATGATGAATTATAGTGAAATAAAAGGCTGGAAACAGAGGTGTCCTGTTTCCTGAAAGGTGTCCTGTTCTGTGACTGGATGCCAGGGATAGAAATCAGTGAGGAGTATCTGAGCTTTTCTATTGAGACTGCACAGTTAGATATTGTATTAAAGTCTGTCCTACAGTGCTTGTTAATTATGTAAATTAGAATAGTTTCATTTACTTGCCAGTTATATGCAGCCTCCTTGATACTGAGAGACAGTATCCTTTGTATGTGTATATAAGTATAAATGTATGTGTGTATTTCATGTCAGATAACATACTTTACCATAAGAGTAGTATCTCCTACATTTTAATAGAAGATTTCAAAAATAAAGAAAAAAAAAAAAAGAAAGAAGCAGTATGTGCTTCTGAAACACCCAAATGTGTCTGTAGAGAGTATATGGTGAACCCACGTGAGTTATACGTTAAGATCTCAGCCTGTTTCACTACAAATTCTAGGTCTGAACCTGGAATTAGGTTCATCAAAGTAAAGACCTTAAAAAATCAGAATTAAAATAAATCACTGCTCTCATATTCTGTTTCTTTGTAAATAGTCTTTCAACCAAAGATCTCACAGACAGTTACCACCCCACATGACTTTACTGATGGGGCAGCTGAGGCATCAGGAGATCATGTGACTTACACTAGTCCCTTCCATATGTGATGCCAGAATGGGAAGACTGTGTGGATACCTCTGATTTTGTTTCTGCATGAATCTTACTTCTGTGTATTCATAGAATGGAGTGGTTGTGATACATTAAAATATTTAAAATTGAAATGTGTTTCAGAGTCTTCTAAAATCAGATTAGCTAGAAAGGTTTTTAAAGAAAATCACCACTTGGTTGTCACTGCAGATTTGCTATTTTTTATCATATGAATATCTGAATTCCCTCTGCAAGATTAATATTACAGGGAAATCTGAGAACATGTTTCATAGAGAGTCTATGGGCAGATGATTTTATTTAGAAAGCTCCCTCTTTCTGAACAAAGTATTTTTATTTTAGAATAATTATGACAATTTATAGCTGAAAACACAATGAAAATTATATCCAGGTCAGTATCTTAAATTTTGTAAGTTCATTTAGTGCTTAAAAAATAAAGGCAGTTTGATGGGTAATAAAAACAAAGACATTTTGAAATAAAATATTATATGAAACATGTATGCTATGCTTTTCAAGGAACAGCTGAATTGACTCAAACTGACACAGTAATGATCCTTAGAAAGTAGATTGCAGTCAGTTGCCTCAGCTTTTTAATAAAGATTCCAAGTCAGTAGGAAACTGTTATAAGAATTAACAGAATTATCTCATGCCATTGTGGAGAAACAAAAAGATTTTTTTCATCACTATAATTAAAAAGCATGTAGTATTGCTGATGGTTGACTATTCCAAGCTGTTGAGGGAAAAAGACAAGGAAATTTAAATCAGGAAATTAAGTGTTTTTTCTACTAAAGACAAGTAGCTTGAGCTATGAGTGGAAATGTATTTAGGTTTTAATTTTCCATAATAGCCTAGATCCTGCATAGATTAAGAATCGTGAAATAATGTGTACCAGTATGATTGATTGTCAAATGAATTTCTCCTCTTCTAGTCTAGATAAGCCCCCTTCCATCTGTCCAAAGAGCAATGTCATATTGAACACATCCTTAATGAAAGCCCTCTACCTGCTGCATGTTAATCCTCCCTGCACTCACACAAACTGTCTGCAAAAAGTGGGCCCTCCTGTTCCTCCCAGACTTGAACATCTTTGTTTTATCAAGCACTGAGTTTCCAATTTTCCCCCCTCAGATCTGTGTTCTCATCCTGGGTTCTCACGTTCTTGAGCTCCAGGGAATCCCTTAAGACAAGGACCCTTCTCTGGCAACTCTGGTGAGAGGGAGACTTGCATATTTCTGGTGGAAGCCAGAAGGATGCAGCAGTGGGAGCCCATCTGCTCCCCACAGCTTTAGAGAAGGCTGTGCACCAGAGCTCAGCCTTAGAAAATAGTTACCTCCTGTGTTGTCTCATTCCATCCAGTTCTGGTACTGAACAGTTTTGATTAATCTGTTAATTTTCCCTGCTACCGTCTCTCTCTCTCTCTCTCCTTTCTAATTAACAATGCAAACTGAAAATATTAGGATTTTTAAAAGCTCACAAATGGAAAATGAGTGATTTTCCTTTTGTTTTATTTAGAAAGTGTCTGACTATCATTTGTTCTTTGGAAACCTTCCTTCTCTGACTGTTCTCCCCAGCTATCAAAATTCGTGCCATAGATCACATAACCCTTTCCTTTGGCACTCCTTCCTAAACTCACACTGTACCCATCTGCTTTGTAGCCCTCCTGGTTTGTGAGCTTTTCTATAATCTTCTCTTCTTGACAGAGGTTTGGAGCCCAGACAAACTTCAGGATTAATGTTTGCTGCACAAGCAACACTTACTTCCATCTATATAGGCATTATTGGACCTTTTCTTGTACTTCAATGAAATCTGCCAGCTATTGTTGCATTTTGTCTTCGAAAAAGTATTTTACTTTAAGAGAAGCCACCTGCCTATTTTTGTGACAGGGCAGACCAGCTGTGTTCATTTAGGACTTTTAAAGGTCTTCTAAGCCTCATAGGCAGCTTTTGTGTTGTACTTGAGTCATGGCAGGTTTGGCAGATATGAGTTTGGATACAAACCCACAGGCACAAAGCATGCGCTGCCTACTCTTTCTTGCCTTAATCTCATTATATTGACTGATATTAACACACTGGGTTCTTGGGGTAAATTATGAAACCTAAACTATGGCAACACCTTGAATCAGACACAACAGAAACATGAGAGAGCCTGGCTGTCCCTATGGGAGGCTATTTTGCCTTACGTTTTAACACCATAAAATGGCAACCCATTCTTTATTTCGGAAACACGTCTAACTCTGGTGCCTGGTATGTTTTATTCCTTAACCAAGTCACTGCACATTTCAAGGCAAGATGGGATCATTGGGATTTTATGGTATGATACAGACTTCAGCTGAGTTTGTGCAGCCAGCCAGGTAACGCAGGAGATTCCATGCAATGTGAATGTGGTAGCTGATCTGCTGTGAGAAAATGGGGTGTAAGGCTCAAGGGACAATAGCTGGCAGACATCAGCAGCAGTCCACTGAGAATGTTATACATACAAAGCACAGTCTTGCTCCAGAGTTATATCCTTAGGAAGGTCTGTCAAGTATACTTTGTCCCTTGCTTCAGAAATAGTAATTTTAAGGCTTATTAATGATTACTTGCATGAGTGCTAATGTACAGTGAAATGCTGAGTAAATGCATAAGAGCCAAATGGTAAAATGCAGTGAGTTGCAACCCCTGAAAAATTTACTGTCATCCAGAGTCTTTCTGCACATTTTTTCCTTATCTTTTGTAGAGAGATGATCAAATTCACCTGTAGGCCTCTATAAAATGCCATGACTGAAAACAGGAATGATCTCAGCCAATGCCTGTCTAGCAACAGTTGTTGGTTACCTCCAAAGAAACTTCCCTCTCTCTTTCCAAGAAGTACTCAGCTCCATCTCTTGTGTGTTGATTTTTCCTACAACTCATAGGGATCTGTTCAGTGCTAGACAGAACCTCTGCACTGTCTGAGAGTGACGTGGTTCCTACACCAAGACATAGTGTTGGAAGGGATTAAGGGGATTCCCACTATACAATATAAATTTGATCTTGTATACTGTTTATTATATTTTAAAAAGCCCCATGATCACTAAAATCTTCACCTGCTGGATATCGAATTTTCCTCTATTCAATTTCTTTGGCTTTATTTCATCTGCTAATTGAATTTTTCAGCTTTGATTTCTCTTGCTGGCTCCTCTGGCTGTTCACAACCATCCCTGAGCATGAGTTTAGGAGGAAACAAGAGCCAGCTTTCACGGTAGTTTATTTCGCTGTTATTTACAACTCACTTGAGTTTCCCATTCCAGGTTTATAACACTAGCAGATTTTTTCAAGTGAATTAGCTGCCTACACAAGGTACAAGATGTTTTATAGCCCTCTCATCAACTTAGAGCTGACACTCAGGTGTGAGCTTCTTTGTTAG